ACACACAGACCAGGCGCCCAGTCTGGGATGGGGATTTTGCACATGAAGTGCCCTGACCTCCGGCCACGACAGTCTCCAGGGAGTCCTCCCGCCACGCTGCAGGGCATGCAGGCCAGGGAGCACTCGGAGCGGAGCCCGCACAGCAAGCGGGAGTCCTCCTGCTCCTCCACCCCCTCCTCCCGGCACCCCTCTGCGCCTGCTCGTCACCCCGGCACACGGTCCCCACACGACCATGGGATCCCCTAGGACCGGCCGACCCTGGGGCTGGGGGTTTCAGCCTCCCCACCTCTCCTGATCACCTCCATCCCATTTTGGGAAAAGGATGGGCGCCTGGGCGGCCATTCACACCCCGAAGCCGCGGCGTGCCCTGCCCGTTCTGACCCAGGGCCTTCTGTCCCGGTCTCACTAGCGTCTGCCCTGGCCGCCCGGCACCGGGCCGTGGGCTGCCCCCGAACACAGAAGCAGCAACAATAAAGAGGAAGCGAGGGCCGAGCTCGGTCTGAGGGGCCGAGCGGGACGGGGTGCCCAGTGCAGCTGGTCCAACCCGACCTTACGTGGAGGACCTTCCCCTCCGGCCACAGGAAGGCCTAGCCCAGGCGGAGGCGGAAGGTGGCCACCTCCATGGGCTCCAGGGAGACGTCCGTGCTGTTGGAGGGCGAGGCCAGCGGGTACAGCAACGTCAGGGAGGTCGGCTGCAGGAAGCCCACGTCCAGGTCGCGGAAGAGGCTCCCCAGGGCCACCTGCGCGGAGGAGAGAGGGGGGAGGCCGTGCTGGGTGCTGACACGCCAGGGGGGGCAGCTCTTCCTCCAGCACTCGCTGTGCCGTCGGCAGCCGTGTGCCTACGCACACGTGCGGGTCTGCCCCAGTTCCAGGCTCACCCAGATGTCAGCCCGAGCCTGACCTCGAACCCGGGGTCGGGACCACTGCACCGAGCGGTGAGCTCTTGGGGGGCAGGGGCCATGTCCTGGTCCTCTTCTGAGGATCTGGGGCGTGGAGGCGTTTGTGGGTGCCGGCTTACACAACAAGTACAGCTTGATGGCTTTTGGGTTTTTTGTGTGTGTGTTTGTTTTTTGTTAATCCTCACCCAAGGATATTTTCCCATTGGTTTTTTATTTTTTAGGGAGAATAGAAAAGAGAGGGAAAGACAGAAACATCGATGTGAGAGAAACACATCGATTGGTTGCTTCCTGCACGAGCCCCGAATAGGGACCAGGCTGGGGAGGAGCCTGCAACCCAGGCATGTGCTCTTGACCGGAATTGAACCTGGGACCCTTTGATCCGCAGGCCGACGCTCTATCCACTGAGCAAACTGGCCAGGGTGCTTTTGGATTTTCATTTCTGTGTCTGATGGGCATCTCGTCTAGAACTTGCACCACTGGGCCTCCGTAGCTTTGAAAACGAATGTCAGCAGCTTCCGTTTTTCTCTCTCAAATACCCAGAGTGACACCTGCACCCCCACCAGCCCTTCAATCGCTGCCTGACCTCACTGCAGTCTCACCCACCTCGCTCACGCCTCCCATTCCCAGCTGCCCCATCTCCCTACCTCCTCTCCTCAGGGGCTCCCTCCCCACACCTGGGCCCTGCTCACCTTGCCTTGACTTGTGGTGCAGTTGAAGCCCAAGTTCTTGGCCTCAAGGCCACAGTCGAAGCCTTTGCGGTGTAGGATGAGGGCGGCTTCTGCCGAGGGCAAGGTCTCATCCTGGTGAGAGCACAAGGCAGTGAGGCGGGTGCTCCCTGAGCTCACAGGTGCTCCCCGAGCTCACAGCTGCTCCCCAGGGCTCACAAGTGCTCCTCAAGCTCACAGATGCTCCTGGGGCTCATAAGTGCTCCCTAGAGCTCACAAGTGCTCCCCCGGGGGCACCCAGGTGCTCCCTGAGCTCACAGGTGCTCCCCAGGGCTCACAGATGCTCCCCCGGGGCTCACAGGTGCTCCCTGAGCTCACAGGTGCTCCCCAGGGCTCACAGATGCTCCCGGGGCTCATAGATGCTCCCCGGGGCTCATAGGTGCTCCCCCAGGGCTCACAGGTGCTCCCCGGAGCTCACAGGTGCTCCCCAGGGCTCACAGGTGCTCCCTGGAGCTCACAGGTGCTCCCCTGAGCTCACAGGTGCTCCCCAGGGCTCACAGGTGCTCCCCCGGGGCTCACAGATGCTCCCCAGGGCTCACAGATGCTCCCCGGGGCTCACAGGTGCTCCCTGAGCTCACAGATGCTCCCTGAGCTCACAGATGCTCCCCCGGGGCTCACAGGTGCTCCCCGAGGCTCACAGGTGCAGCAGCACCCTCTGCCCTCGAAAGCGGTGCTGGGACAAAGAGAAGCCCTGGGTGAGGACAGGGCCATAATTTTGGTCCTGGGAGATCCGGGGGCTGAGCGGGGATCCTCACCTCAGGCCCTGGAGCGTGGCGCAGGTTGGAGCAGGTGGAAAGTCACAGGGGCAGCGAGGAAGCCAGACGAATGAAAATGAGCTGCAGGCCCGGGAGGCCGAGGGGCTGCCCCTTTTGCTACCGGGCAGGGCAAAGGCACCGGGGGCCATTCAGGGTACACGGAGGGTAATTGTGGTTTGAAGGA